ATCGTGATAAAGTGAAAGACTGGTTATTTCTTCGAATTATGTATACGAAGAAAACGAAAAGCCAAACAGAACTATGAACAGACAGAACATACGCAAAAAGTAAATATCTATCGTCTTGCGTAACTAAAGTCTAAGAGGTAAAGTGTATGTATTCAATGCACTTATTGTTCAGAAATTGTTGAACGGTCAATGAATAAATGATCTGAGAAATAAAGAAATAAAAAAAAAATTGTAGGACTATAAATAGCAGATAGTAAAGGAAAACAAAAGAATAGAGAAACTACTTTATATAAAAGTCATTGATTACAGACCCAGATACAACAAAAAATTGAATGAATATTTATTTAAAAAACTGTAACTTTCAAAATGATTACTGTCTTTGAAATAGTTGTAGGCACATTTATTGAAACGAGTATTTATTACTGATGCATAGTTTTGAGAGAACATATTTGCCCTTCATAATATTACAATGATGATTTTTCATACTCAGTGAGATTTCAAGGCATAAAACGAATCAATATAAGAAGCATCAATATTTGCCAAGTGCGATCGCATTATAAGCTCTAAGTAGAAAGCTATTTAAATGTCCAATAGGATGAATTTTTTTTTCGTTCTTTACGTTGGTTACGAGAGAATCGATGATACATTTGTCGTAGATTTTTGAATTTGATCAACTTTCTGAGACACGAATACCAACGACAAAAATTCAAATTTTGTAGAATAATGAAAGATAAAATCTTATGTTCAACTTTTACTAATGCACACGATATATAATATAAGCAAATTATTTACTTGGCAACTGTCATCGACGTATGACTCATTCGGTTGTCAATCAACTGCTTCACCGACTGAAATATAAATGTAAGTCCTCTCATTTTTTCAATTGTTCATATTTTCTCTCTCTCTCACTCTAATCTCTCCTTATTTGGTCTCGGTTGTGAATACTCCTATACGTAATACTTGATACCAATCGTGCATTGTAATGCATCAACGTCTTTCAGGTCTTTTTTGTTATTGACATTTTTCTGCCCTATAATTTCTACATCTCTTTTGAATTCCTTAAATTTAAGAATTTTTACGCTTTTACTTTTATATAGTACATCAGGCGATATATAATTATATAATTCGCTCATCAGAGGTAATACTGCTTGAATGACATTGTATAGATTAAAAAAAAGTAGTAATATAAAGCAGATATCATCTTCGATGATACATTCGAGTATATAATAGAATGATTAATATCTTGTTGTTTTGCTCATTTATCAACTTCTTCAACGTTTTGCATATTTGTCGATTTTTTTGATTTCTTAGAACGTCGGCATCTTTTGTTCGTCTATTTGTTTTTTCTTTACAAAATCATCATCTGCTTATTTGTCTCATTCACTCACACACATGGCGACAAAAGAAAAATATTTTAAAAGTTAAAAACGAATATTGTCTTTATCAAATCATGATTTAACTGTATTAGCAAAATGAACAGTATTGCTTGCCGTTGTTGGTGGTGGATTATCATCAACTGGATAAAAACGTAAATGTTGATAGTGACTTGAACCATCACGACGTATTGAAACAGCAGGTTTCTCACGAAAATACCGAAGTCTAAAACAACATCTGCATAAAAAAATATTAAATAAAAATCATAAGAAACCTTTTTCCAGGAAATTCTGTTGATTGATTATGTCGTAATTTATCAAGTGTGTCACGAACATTATTAGCAATTGTTTCATCATCTATAACAGCTTGTTTATTTATAACCACTGTTGGGACCTAGAATATTTGAATATATATTCAAATATTGAAATATATCAAGTATGTTACAGGTGCTGATGCTTTATCTTTGTCTTCTACTATTTGTGAGTTTGGTGGTAAACTTTTTGGATCAGTTAGTACATCTAATGGAACCGATGGATGTTGATATGTTGCTGGATCATATAAATTCCATGGAATAGTTTGTCCAAATGTTCCTTTTTTAATTAGATTGTTTAAATTATTATGAAATAAAGATTAGAATATTTATTACCTATGAAATGTCCTTGAAGATTCCAAAGACGTATTGTCCAATCGAGTGCAGAAGAAATAAGTACTTGAGCTAGAATTAGATAAGAAAATTTCGTTTTTATTTTATATTCGACAAAAACAAAAAATACTTACGTACTTTGATCAATATATTCAAGCCCAGTTACACTATCAACATGAGCACGCCAAGTTCGAACACCTAATAATAAATAAGATATGTTTTAAAACAAACTTTTAAATCTTACAACGAGGCGGATCGGATTCATGTTTAAGTGCATAATTTTCGATTTGATAAATAAATAAAAAACCTAGAAAAAACAATGACATACACATATATTTACAAATGAATAAAGAAAGAAAATGTGTTTTACCTAATGAATCAGCGGCAAATAAAATATGGCATGCAAGGTCTAGTTTAACTTGTGTTACTGTCGTCACTCTTTCTTTATTCTACAATTAATATTTCTTTATCTAAACTTTGGTTTAATTTTACAAATATTTACCGGTGAAAATTTAGCCATTAACACACCATTTTTATAAATATTCCAAAAATGAATTTGACCATAAGGTCCACTAGCAATTAAATTAGCTATATCATGTCGACCATATCTTGAGTCAATAAATGTTACACGACTAATAACTCGATTATTTGCATTTTCTATATTGAAATAAATATTTAATAATTAATAATTCAAATATTTCTTTCTACCTTCAGAATATTGATTTTTTTCAGTAATATTCTTTAGACAAGCAAATATTTTTTTACTTGCCATATTCCAAATAATAATTGTTCCACCATAATCACCAGTTGCAATTAAATCACCTTGAGATTTATCAATACATAATATATCCTCTTGATGGCCTTCATATTGACTATCACCAACAAATTGATCTTCAGGAAAACAAACTTGTTTTATACGTTCACGATCATCTTTAAAAACATTCACATGTTTATCCCATCCAACAGCTAATATTGAACAATTATTATTCACGACAATAAAAGTTACATCTGTTATTTCAAGTGAATCTTTAAAAAAATCTCTTTAGTTAAATATGAAATTTAACTTAAAAATACTGACCACGTGGTTTTTTAAATATTTTTAACAATTGTCCATTATGAACATTCCATATACAACATGTTCCATCTCGACTACCTGTTATTAATCTTCGTTCTGTTGTATCTAAAGCCATGGATGTTACAGCTTGACCGTTATGTGCTCGAAATTCATGTACTTGTCTTCCAGTTAGAAAGTCCCATAAACGAACAACTCCACTTTCTGTACAGGAAATAACTTGTTTAAATTCTTTGATAAAAAGTAAACCAAGTACAGGTTCATAATGTGAAACGACAACATCAGCATGTAAATAAGGTCTATGAAATAATATTTAATTCAGCTTTTTTTGCATGATTTATTCAGAAAAGACTTATTTACTTACCGTAATTTAAGATTTAAAAATGAGATTTGTTCACTTGCAAATAATAAACAACGTGTATGAGGATTATAACATGCAGCTTGTAAATCTCCACGTATTTTATGAACTTTAGAACGAACACATGCCAAGAGTGTATGCTCAATAAGATCCCATACCTTTGAAATAAATGCAATTGATTATCTTAGGTTTTGTTTTTAATAAAGTTCATTGTTTATCTCTTTTGTTCGTATTTGATCCTTTCCTTTTTCTCATTCATGTACATATGTGTTTTATTAGTGCAATTTTTCGCTCACATTTTTTTCTTGCCTCATATATGACAGGTTGCTTTTATCTATCTCTTCTTTTTTCTTATGGTATATTTGTTGATAGAGGTAAATTAAATTGATAAAGGAGACAAAAGAACGTGAGAAAGCTTTTGTTTATATTAACTAGACACAACCTTTATTTAATGTCAATTATTCATTGAGAATAGATCCAATTAAACAAGAATTGCTTTATTTACTATGTCTATCGTCAAAATCCATAGTAAATCAATGAACATAAGGTAGCGAACAGAATTATTTTTATTTTTTTCTTCTTTTTCTTCAATGAACAATAAAATACAAGCAAGTTATGTTGTTTTGATTCTTAAATCATGAAAAAATGAAGGGAATATCAAAAAGGAGAAAAGTATCTGTTTTATCAAATGTCAAAAAAAAAACACGTTCGTTCGTCTTTCCTATAACTATTAACTCAAACGTATTATTTATATATGAGAACCAAATTTTCAAGATAATTTTATTCTTTTAGCACGTTCAACCTATTTCCATTGATAGATCGACCTTGTACAGGAAGAACACGAAGTATAATACTTATGATAATGGTTATTTGAATCGTGGTTCTCTTTGTATAGAATGAACCATATATATATATGATGTGATACATGATCAACGTTTGATTACTAATATATATGTATACGGTTGATTAGTTGAATAGTGAAAAAGAACAGCTCTATGTAAATTAGTATTATCGATTCCAGTCCTATGCGAATTGATGACAAGATGCATTTTTCAGATCATCGTGATTCATTTCCGTTTTTCGCATTCTTCCTTGTTCTTTTCATTTCCTTGGCTTATGTAACGTCCTTAGTCGATCTATTCTAGCTGCAAAAGAATAAAAAAACCACTAGTTATTTGTCTTCATTCACTGTAGAAATACGAAATGCATTGTATACTCGATAAGTTTTATTGACTAAAACACGAGTGCGAATAGGTTATCTTTTGCGTCGATTACATACTCATAGAATCATTTTTCGTTCGAAAATGATAACATAAAGATAATAGCTAATATACATTACGGTTATTATTCTATTCTTTTTCTTATTTTAGTTACATTCTTCTCAAAAAAAAAGTTTACTCATATGGTCCATCGTATTCAATTCAATCGTGTCGTTTGTCAACCGCAATCACCAAAGCTATTTCTTTTTCTTCCAATTATTATTCCGTCTAATTGAATTAGTAAAATAAAGTTATTCTCGTTGGTACTGTCATCATTTCGATAAGAATTATCAAATGAGAACCGATCATGTAAAGTGAAAGTCGATGGGTCTAATCCGTTTTTTATATCAAAATAAATCCGTTATTTTATTTTGTTTGTTTACTTATGTCCTTTTTTGGTTAACTATTGGAACATTTAAACAATCAATAAGTCTCAATTCAGTGAGTTGAAAAGTCGAAAAAGAATAAATAATTCTTTTTCTTTTCTTTTTCTATAGCAATCAAATGGACTACAACATCAATCAAATTCAATTTTCCATTTTATACTTGATCGTTTATTACAAATAAAAATTAATCTATTTTTAATTGATCCATATGTACTTAATTATCTTTTTATTGATGAATTACCATTTGATAAATTAGAAAAACAATTAATTACTTTTGCTATTATTGATGACTCAGTTGAAAGATTTTTTCGATATTTTCAAGAAAGAAATTTTTCAATAAAACTATCAGAAACTATTTTATCAAATCAAAAAACATCAATTGATCATATATTTATCGAATATAAAAACAAAATAATTCATTTAGCTGTTTTACATAAATATAAATCATTTTATCTCATACAAAAAAATATTCTTCCATTATCTGAAAATATTCAACTATCGTATGGTGATACACTTCGTGCTGTTGAACCGTAAGAATTTTATAATTTGAAAAAAGAAAAAAAAAAAAAAACTAAGCTTTATGTTTTTATTTTTATATGTGATAGAATTGAAATTAATGTACATGAATATTCATTTTTTTATCCTCGAAATGTTTCACATTTTTTATGGCTATATCAAACATCAAAATTTCTTCATTGTAATAGAATATTAGCAGATGAAATGGAAAATCAATTTAATTTACATCAAAATGCTAGTCAATTAAACTTAACTGTTACACCTATGAAACATATCGCTTTTGCATTAAATAAACTTGAAAAACATTATTGGCTTGCTGGTGGAACTTTACTGGGTAAGATATTTTAATTATGTTTATATAAACATTTTTTTTATTATAGGTTGGTATCGTCATTGTGGTTTAATACCATTTACACAAGATGCAGATTTCGGTCTTTTTGCCGAAGAATATGATGAAAGTATTCGAAATCATTTTCTTGGAAATCCTGTTGCTTATCTATGGGGTGCATTAGGACTTGTAAGTCGTTTATTAATATTTTTACGTTTTTCTTTTTTGTTGAACTAATTTTAAAATAATAAAATAGGTTAATGATTCTCTTGAATTTCGTCTTTATACGGGTCGGTTTACGCTTGATCTATTTTGGGCATACCGTGAAGACAATCATCGATGGTGTGGCTATCAAGTTCAAAGAGCAAAATTTAGGTATATTTGTTTGTTCTTTTTAACAAGAAATCTAATCGAATGAAGAGCCAGAGAGTGATAGCTACCAAATAAAAAGCGCTCATATTTCATGACAATAACATTTAATTTAAGTAAAAATATCTTGAAAGCTTCATCATTACGGAGAAAAACTGAAACGAGATTTCTAATATCAATACATTTCTACCTCTTATTAAGTTTATATAGAAGAATACTATTCATGTACTTTTCCAATTTTTTTACATACAAGAACAGGATATCAATTCAAATACATTCAAATTTTTTGAGAAGCATGAGCTCTTTTAGTATGTTCATAATAAAATATGAATTATAGCTAAGGCTATAATGGTGAGGAGTAGTTTTCTATTCTATACGGAAGTATCTAATGATTGAGTTCGGAAGGAAATCATTCTATTTTTTCCTGAATGTCATTTGCATTATTATTTTCAGTAAATAAAAAGAAGAAACTAAATTAAATATTTCATAAGGAAAATATATCTTATATTTCAGACGTACTCTTCCATTACTTGAAACACTTTGTTCGTGTGATCTATTTGGTGTTCGTTTTTCAATACCTTGTTCACCGATTGATTATCTTGATATTGAATATGGAAAAGATAAATGGAAGAGTCCATTAGAAAAAAATTATACATGGGTTAATATGAAATATCATTCTCTATGGAATGATATCTCATGGATGTATGCAATACGTTTATATACACGTCAAGGAAAACTTCGTACAGATAAATTTGCAATTGATTGGATATCAAATCATTTTAATTATTCTATAACATCAATTCCAACATTTCTTAATGTTTTACCTAATGAACCAGTAACACTACCACCACTTAAAGCTAAACTTATTTACGGTTCACCGATAAAGAAAAAAATTTCAAGAAATAAATCTAAATCAACCAGAAAAAAAATCCTGTAAAATGTTTTTTGTTTTGTTTTTCTAATAATGTTGACATTATTTCTTTTTCTGGTCTGAATAATAGTGAATTGTTTTTCTTTATATATAAATGATAAAAATCTAACCGTTGATAAAATAAAAGTCTGTTTCGTTAAAACAAAACTTACCAAAACAGTTTTATCAGTTGATATAGAAAATACTCGATCATCTTCAACAGCTATTTTAACAAGAAATACAGGTGCATTATGACCACGAAGTCTAGCAACAGGTCGAGATGGTAAATATGGGTTCCATAAACGTATAACACGATCCATTCCGCCAGTAACAAGAACATTTTTTTCTGTACATAAATCAAATGTTTTAACACCTTTATGAATTTTAAATACAGTTTGATCAGCATCACAACGCATTTGTGCATTACGAATGATTGGTTGACGACGAATTATTGAACGTGATGTTGTTGCTGTAACAGCATCAGCTCTCATTTCTTGAATACCAACTTTTCTTGGATGAGTATCTTGAGAAGACGAATGTGTCAAATAGGATGTTGTTGAATCACGTTTATGTCGAGTATTTACCATTGATGGAAGAGTACTTTCGTCATTTAAATCTATTGTTTTGTTTTTTGAGCAAATAATAATAATAATAATAAATAAATGAAAAACAAACGTAATCACCTGTTGACATTGTGCCTCGTCTTCTACGTGATCCTTTTAAATCATTTGATTTAGTTTGAGAAGTTTTTATTTCCGCAAAACCATTTTCGGTTAGTTGAATTTCTGAACTAGCACTTGCTCGTATACAACCAATGACAACAGCTGTATTCTGATCATTTGAACATGATATTATTTGATTAAGTCTTGAATCATAATAAATATATTCTACAAGAAAAAAAAAAAACAAATTTGATTTAATTGTTATTGATTATATTTTCTTTTACCAATCCATTCTCGATGAACTTTCCAACGAACATAATCACATTTATATGCATCGAGAAAACGATCGAAATTAACTGTTGGAATACCTTTTCGACGTTCAAGAGTTGTTAATAAACGAAAAATTTCTCGAGCAGCAAGAAATATAAGAATATTAACACAACCATCTGTATCACCATAAATAAGAAGTAATTCGTCGGGTGAAATTATTCTAATTAAATAAAAAGAAAAGTTTCATTTAATTTTCAAAATGTATTCATTGATCTACCCATAATTTAGTTTGATCGGTACACTATCTAATGAACATATTTGTGTACATGGAAGATCATTTGTTTGAACTTCACGTGATGTACTTAAACAATAAGTTTGATCCCAAAATTGAAGTTCACGATCTCTTTTATATAAATAAAGAAAAAATTAATGTCAAGATCAAGATAATACATGTATATATATATATATATATTCGTCTTACCCAGTACTAACAGCAACTTTATTAAATTCTGGTATTATTTGACAATCTGTTATCCATTTTGGTTGAGAACGAGTTTGTTGATCTTTACGCTATTATATCAATTCAATGATATTTATTAAAATAGATACACAAAAAGCAATGATAGTCATACTTTCTCCAGACGTTCTCTTGCTGTTAGTGTTTGATCAATACCTGCAGTTGCCTAGAAACAGAATATTAATTTGCTTTTTTTTTGTTTTTCTTCCCTAATCAATTTAATCTATTTACTGCTACAGATTTTGCTATTTTTAGTTCACCACTTGGTGTCCATACAGATAGTGTTCCGTCCTTTGAATATAACAATTCTATCTAAATATAATTTTTATTAATGATTAACTTACACTTCCTAATGCTAAATATTGATGATCAGGAGAAAGTATAATTGTTGAACAAGGATATCGGTGTGGTGTTTTTTGAATTTTAGCTGGTATTAAAAATGAAATTTCTTTTGCATGATATTCAGCATCTGCTTTTTCATTAAAATTAAGCTGAAGAAATGTACATAATTCATCCCATGTTATTATTTGTTCCGCATTATAATCAATTTTATTAAATAAATTTTCTATTTGTTCATCAATCTTAAATAAAACGAAAAAAAAAAAAGAACGAGCGAATAATCATTAACAAAGTAATTAAACATACTCCTCGTTGTGAACCTATACATCGTTTAACAATTCGAGTAAACTCATCTAATGTCATTTCACCTGATCCATCAATATCAAGATCAACCGGAGTTAGATTTTGAGTAAATGCACGTTTTAATAATTCAAGTGCATTGATGTTTAATCTTTCTTCGATCTAAATAAAATTAACAAAAAATAAAAATAAAAATAAAAATATTTCATAATAAATTTTAGAAATATACCGGTAAATTTTTATTTTCATCAATTTCTGTTTCCTAAATAGAAATGAAGATTATTTTAGAAAAAGAAAAAGAATAAAATTCGTATCAGTCATTACTGTTTCAATTTTCTTTACTGCTGAAAGAGTTCTTCGACCCTATGATAATCAAACGAATAAACTAAATAAATTTCAAATATTTATTTCTTTTACCCTTGCAGCATCGTCTTCTTTTTTTGGTTTTAACTAAAAAATAAAATCAAAATAGATTTTATTTTCAACATTTTCTTACCTCTCCTTTAAGACCAACTAATGCATAACTTTTAGCTCGTTTTAACAGAATAACTTCATATTCTTGTATATTAGTTGGATTAGCAATAGTTAATCGTCGTAAATTTTTAAACTAGATATTGTAAAAAATGAAAACGAAAATAAAATAAAATGAAATTCATTTTCTTATTCTTTTGTTATATATTTTGCTTTTTTACCGATTGAAAATATGATTTAATTTCTAAATTTTGATCATAATCTTCAGCATTTCGATTAATATTTGCCATTCGTAATTGAGGTTTATTAGTTGATAAACTTTTTCTCCATTCTTCAACTGTACCTGGTGCATGACCATCATCTAATAGACTTGATTGAAAACATGGATGACTTTGAAGATTGCCATGAGCAGATGATGGACGTTGTATCCAATCGTTGAATCTATTTTGTTGAGTCATTTCTAGAAAAATATTGATAATGTTAGATAAATCAAGGTCATTATACAACAAGAATTATTTGCATCAAATAGCATATACAAATAAACATTGAAAAAATCTTCCACTGACATGAAGAATAGAGTATAAAATTCCTATGATTGTGGTTGTGCATCGACGACAGCACAACATCCTTTAAAAATACACATAAACACACAAACACACATGATTGAAATGCGTTGATAATGGTGATGACAATGATTGAAAAAAAAGAGAACGGAATATTTTATTGAAGAATGAATAAACAAACGGAAATCTTAACTAGACTGAGAAAGAAGAAAAGAAAGACAAAGAATGAGCAAAACAAGATTTGTTGGCATGCAAGAAAAAAAAATTTAATGATTGTTTGATTAAGAAAAATATTTTCATATTAAGCTTTATAAACTTCTAATCATATAGAAAAATTAAACTTTACCTTTTTCAGATATTGTATTTAGCATTTATACTCTATTTCAAGTCTGCTAAAAAAAATTTTTGACTAACTAGAATAAGAATGGCGACCAATGTACAAATTTCTCTTCATTTGTTTGTTTTGATCAAAACTCAAGTGTATACTGAATTGACTATTGTTAAGGCATTGATGAAAAAATAAAATAATGCTTTTTAACATATCTAATCTTAGTTTCCATTGTTGCTTTTATTCTACGTAAATATTGATTTTTGCTATTTTTAATACATGTAATGTTGTCTTAAAATCAAACTAGATAGATTATTTATTCTTTTCAATATATCTATGTTCAATAAAAAAAAAAAAGTCATTCAATAAAATCTATATTATCCTTTGTAACATCAGAAATTTTCATATTATTCGATTACATTTGAAGTATTACATAAGTTTAAAAACCGTTCACAATAGTAAAATAACGTTGTCAAGTTGAATACATTAATAACTTAAAATTTATATGTAGATAATTGAAATCTTTCAAAATAACTTTTTTTTTTATCAAGAGTTGAGTCGTCAAAGATAACATGTGCATGCACTCATGAAAAAAGTAATCGGAACTAAATATTTTAAAAGAAAGACGTATTTTATTGATAGTGACACACTAATGCTTACTAGCAGTCAAATAATCAATTTCTTTGATACTATTCTAGTTTCATTATCGCACTCTCTTATTGTCTACCAGCAGGTGATCTCTCAATCAAACCTTCCTGCTGTGTCTTCTATATTAAAAAATTTATTCCCATAATTGAGCAATGATTCATTTCTGACTTCATATTTTAGTAAGTTGTTGTTGTAGAGAATTCATTTTGATCAATTCAAATTTTGATTTTTCCTAGGTTTCTTTTTGCTAAAGTTTTTACATTTAAAAGAATTTTGCAATATATTCATCAATCCAAATATTAACTATTCTCTTTCAAGTACTTGAGGAAATTTTATCATATAATTGTCCAACGAAGATTTATTATTTTTTAAATGTAGTTTTTATCATTTTAAACTTTTTTTTTTTTCAAAGGTCTCAATACTTTCTTTTTATTAGATTCTTTAAACGAAAGTAAAGTTATTTTTTATTGACAAAAAATTACTTCTACAAAAAAAAATATAGACGTAATTTTTGTTTAATTTGCATAAATCGAACCTATCCAAACATATTTATATAAATGATATTTTTTTTTATTACATTTACATGCATGTACAAAAATATGACTCAATAACAGGTCAAACTCCACAAAGTTCTATTTGCTTTTTTAACTTCGTAATTATGCTCGAGTCAATATTGAAATATTTTGACAAACAATTTTTTTTATAATTGAGACTGCAACATGAATGTTTATACTTCATTTAATGTCTTCTAAGTGTTTTGCACAAAATAAAAGTCGTAACTGGACAGAAGAAACCGTTTGATGGAATACTAATCGACTGTAAATTAGCGCATGATGATTAAAATTTCTTATCTATGTTCATATTACAAAACATATACTAGTTTATTTGTACAAAGCTTGTCAAGAAATTTCAGATGATAAAATCTATTTTGTTTCATAAGATGCTCTTAGTATACTTTCAAGCTAATACTAATCATAGTTAATTTAAAATACTTAGACAGTGAGACCTTGCTATAATGGTCATCTCTTTATTCTGAACAATGAACACTTATTTCTGGTCCCATGAGCAATGATAACCTCTGTACTGTGAGCAACATATGTTCTATCACTCATGTGAGGAACAAGAAAAAAAACGACGATATATGTAATGCTCTATGATAAATCATCATAGGACACCGGAAAACGAAATTGCCTGACCGTGGGATGTCTAAAAGATGATATTAGATAACAATAGAAGTGCTTTGTATAATATATTACCATTTCTTGTGTTAACCAGTAGTAACATCGAATTATGTCAATACGAGTTGATTGATCTCTGATTAGAAAAGTTGTATTAATTAGTTATTGGAAAAAGAAAAACATCACCTTGTATAAACGACAAATGATTATGACTGAATACTTATAGGTTGGTGAAGAGAAACAAAAAACCTCTCAATAATGAGCACCTCTGTAAAATGAGCACTTTTAGTCGATCCGACTGATACTCACATTGGAAAGATTTTTATGTGTAACTTTTCAATGGTATCACATATTCTGTCGTAATAAAGTGATTATTTCAACTGTTATTAGTTTTGAATCATCTAGATAGTTGAATAGTAGCACAATAGTTATGAAAAATAAACGATTTAAAATGAAATTATAATTTTATGCTGATTTGTATAATTCAATTGTGTTTATAATGTTCAAGAAAGTAGATATGTGTGAATATGATTCTATCGTTTGATATTGATATGAAAACTGTTCTCTTGTTACTTTTCTCAGAGAATTCCATCATTAGATGAATTCTTCATTGGGATTATAAAAATAAGAATAAACAAATTTTGATATTTCGATATTGTTTAGATGATCTTACAAAGTTTAAGTGTATCAAATAGTTGCTTGATCAATTCGCTTATTCATGTTTGAACTCAAGAGTATTTATTCGAGAAAAAAAAATAATACATATAGATTTATCTTTTTGTTATTCTATCCAATAGAATATTAAGTTTATCTTGCAGGTTCAGCATTCCTTGGCTAATTTCAATAAGTTTGTCTTCCATTTTATCAACTTTTTGTTCCATTATAACAACCCGTTGTGAGGTTTCATCAGTAACTGCACTTGTACTACGTTGTATAGTAAATAATTCAAGCAAACTAACATAATTATCAGCCAATTTACGTTGTCGTTGTTTAATATGTCGAACCAATTGTATTGATGTTAATAATTTACGTTGTGCTTGAATACATTGAATAAATCTGGATTTACCTTTTCGTCGTAAATACCAAACTTTCCAACCATATTTAACAACATTTGCAGCTTGATCTTTATGTGCTTTAGCTAATTCAATACTTGCCACAAAATTATGCACATATTTTTCTGATCTTGTTAATTCAAGTTTTTGTGAAATGACAGCAACAAGAAGAGCAGTTGCAAATACACCGATGATGCCTGTTAAAGCAGCAATACCTATAAAAAGAAAACAGAAAATTTCTTCAAATTGAATTATTTTTCTGAAAAATCAGTGTTGCTGTTTTTCTTTTACATTTAATTAAATTTATCATGTTCCCTAAATATTTTTATTGATTTTTTTTCCGAAAGTAAGCAGCAATGCATACTACGTAGTTCTTTTGTGAGCAAAATAGAATGATCAATAGTTGACATGCAATTAATATTCCGAACACATAGTTGACTACGAAAAATATGGGACAAAAAAAGATTTAATTATTCTATGTGAGTAATTTATTTAATGAAATTTTCATTAACTTTCTATACAGAAAAAGGAAAACCTATATTTCAATATCTATATAATCTAAATTAACTTTACCTCGCCCACAATATGTTGATGGTACTATATCTCCATAACCTAAAAACAAAAAGCAATGATGAATAATTTTGTTTTTCTCCTTCATTTATAACAAATACAAAAGGAAAGAAAATTATTAATTACCAATTGTTGTAAAAGAAATAATAAATAACCATGTTGCATCAAGCATTGACATATGTCCTTTTTTAACATTATAGTCACATGCACGCATAGCCCAACTTGCAATAAAAAAAGTACTAATACAGATTGATGTTAAACAAAGTGCTGGTCTTCGTTTCATATATGATTTAATAATAAACGGAAAATTAAATGAAACTCGATTAAGATAACCAAGTGATTGTGATGATGCATCACGTACCAAATGAGAATGAAGCATTATTAAACGACAAACCAGATATAATCGACAAAACACTATTTAAGGAAAAAAAATTAAAAAGTTTTTATTTCTATCAAGAGTAAAATCTAGATTTTTACTTGGTAAACTAAGCATAACATCAATTGGTACATAGGATTGTGGAAGCTCATCATCATCTGCTGGTTTTATTTGTGTTGTTAATGTCATTGTTGAATTTAATAATGTTGGTGTACTTAATGAATCCGGTATTGGTCGATGTGCATTAACAAAATTAAAACTTGTTTCAACTTTTTTAACATATTGTGAACTCCATTCAACAAGAAAATGACCTGGTATTGGATGTATCATACAAATAAATGCTTCAAATAAAATTGAAAATATTTTCGTACGAGTTAATGCAATGCGCCAATCATCAATTGAATTATCAACACAATAAAGATTTAAATCAATACGATGATAATAAAAAACAAGACCGACAAGAAGTATTGTTGTAAATGTTATTGTTGCCTTTATAAATAAACTGAATGTTGTATCCTTATGAACAAGACGAGTAAATGTTAATTCATTTTCAATTATCATTAGAATAATACCCAATAAAGCAAGAAAACACATGATATCACCAATAAACCGACTATGACAAAAAGAAAGAAAAAAAAACTTCGTTTTTTTTTCAGAATTATATTTTTACCGTTGTATATGTAGCTCTTTTCGTTTAGCTAAACGATAACCAACATTAGCCATTAAAGTCTTTTTCATAACACGACGTTCTTGTGTTGATATTCGACGAAGTTCATATGTATCAACTGTTAAACCATTGTCTTTTTTTGGTTGATTAGGATCAGTTGAAGTAGAAAACGGTGATGGTGAAGTTGGCATTGTCGTCATAGTAATAGTTGTTGAGGGTATATCTGTATGACTGCGCATTTCAGTGTATTTAACAATTGGTGAAGCGCCAGATGTTAATGGTAAACGAGGATTGTCACCAGAAGCCATCGAAAATACTTAATGTTTGTTCGTATATCTATCTATTAGAAAGTCAATGGGGACAACATGAATATACTTGTTCTTACTCCTACGAATTTCTTTTTCTAACTAAATGAAAAAGAAAACGACAGCAATCTAAAACAATATCGAAGAAAAATATGCTTGGTCACAGCTGTCACGAGAAATGTCGGATGAGCAAAGAAAGAAAAGACAACAGCATCACATAATATAATGATGAGTGAAAAAATATTATTATTTTGTTACGATCTTCTTAGAGTTCTCTCCAAGGATGACATCGAATGTTCTTACAGTCGCTACATTAATAACACAATATAAAAATCTAAATAAATCCATAAATCGAAACAAAATAGAGAAAAAAAAAAGAAACATAATCAGAATGCTTCTGTCACGTACACATTCTAAACTAAATAGCAACATTTTCATTATCATATATGTTACTCGACTGTCTTTGTTGAAGTGAGAACTATATTCTATAAAAAAAATATACACTACTGAAAATAAATTGTCTTGGTTGATACTGCTACACTTTTGCATTCTGATGTTACTTTTCTCCTCGTCTTCTCTTCATCTGCGAAGTAGCGTTATAAGAACTTTTCTGTATTTCTCTCTTTCTTTTTCATTAAATCTATCTTCTCAGAAAAGAAATTAAATATATACCTTCGAATAGTACATTGTTGGAAAAGTATTTTCATCAGTAATTGGTAATATTGTTGTATTCGATTATTTTTTTTTCTGAAGATTCTTTTCAACATCCGAGATAAACATATACGCATTCAACTACAAGCAAATACAAACGAACAAAGAAAAGGAGATAGAATGGAAAACTAAAACTTAGTAAGACTATCCGAACTACTGCTATTACTACTGCTTGACAATTCTTATTCTTCCACCTAGTTGTCGGGCCGTCGTCAAAAGGAAAAAAAAAACAACAGGAAGTAGAGAAAAGTGGATACTACTACTTATTTACCTACTAAATAGCAATACATGATGTGAAAACTATTAAAAGAGTAGTTTCTTTTTTTTCCATTTAAATGTCTTGATATTCAAGATATCTATTATTCGATAGTGTTAGTAATCGTAACAATTGACGACTAAATAATGACATACGATGAGGAAAAAAAATCCATTTACATGATTATTAACAATTCATTAATAAATGGAGGATGCATCATTAAGATTTTGAATGAATACTAATAATAACAAACAGAATAAACGTTTTCTTAATAGATGAAAATGAGCAAGCAGATGCATTAATATATTAAAAGAAAACGACGCATGACAACATATACTTGTTACTAATTTATTTTGATAAAATAGTTGCAACACTAATTCTTATGCAAGAATATGTTCTTGCATTCATTCATATTTTATCATCTGATCAAAGAAAAGAAAATATTCTTTTCGTATATATTTGTTCGAGAAAATTCTTCTCATATTTATAATGGAATAGTATTTATAAATTAGAACAAAAATATAAATTCAAATAATGTATATTTCCTTATAAGATAATTATCTAAGTTTTAATATATATAAATTGCTTTACTTATCTATTTTGAATATAGTCAAGTAGAATATTAAAGTATATGTGCATGCTTTCGACAAAGGAAATAGTTCTTTGATCATTGACACAACTATTTTTAGACAAGGAAATCAAGTAGATTATTCAATTTTTATTTTCTTTTGCAGTTGCAATTTGAGTAATTGACTTTCGGTTGTTTACATGCAACTAACTTCCTTGTTTGATATTGATATTCATGTCTATGTATGTAAGCATTACTTCATTCGTTAATGATAATGCTTATGATTTCCTTAAACAAATTTCATCAAACGTGTGTGTTAAAAAAATTCTTTTATATCTAATTTTTAATTATCAATATATTGCTGTTAATTCATTATTAAACACAGATTTGTTCTTTTTCTTTACATTGTTACAGATGTCACACGAGATAAAATAGTTGATGATTCTCTTTCATTACCTTTCTTTTTTATTTTTTATTAGTTTTTCTTTTTATCCACTGAGTGTCGTTGCCTAGAAACGGAATATCAAGCGACAGCAATAACTTAAAGAAACCTGAAGAGAAAAAAAATATCAATTGGCTGAAAAAAAGAAATTTACAAAATGTCCATTTATTGATCTTGTTGTTATTTTCAATGTATAACATAATTGTAAGAGAAAGAGAGGAATATATAAATATTCTAAGAGAAATTTTGTGTATGTAGAATGTCCCAAAAGTCATCATCACTTGAGAATTATGTATAACTCCATTATTAATCAAACTTAATCTAATAATCTTTTGTATTTAGAAGAGCAAGCCAGTAAATTTGTTTTGATACAAACAAATTTCATAAATACTCTTAGAAGTATTAATTTTGACTTCAATAAAAAAAAATGTACTGGTTTCACAATTTCAAAAAAAAAACCCGTTACGCAACGTTTTATTCTTATTATATGGATTTTTTCATCATTCGGGTTTTGTAACTTAGGAAGACTTTTTATGATTGTTTTGTAGAAATTTGGTTTGATATGGCTCAAAGTATAGAAGTCCGATAGTATCAAGTTTGGCGATGGAGGTGTTCATGATATTTGTCTACCTCTTCCGATTCATTTATCATTGATAACGAAACATTGGCCTTAGACAATTATTTTGAAGTGCTTCAGAAGTCTTTTTATTTGAGTTTACAAAAGAAACGCTTGAGTAACTTTATCGTTTCCAGCAAGATAGAGCACGGGTCTATTTCTTGCAACCGGTTCGAGTCTGGCTGAACGAAATCTTGTATCACAGGTGAATTGGAAATTACATTTTCCTTTAAAGTTTAAAACACCTACAGTTTTGTATTGAAGTCAAAGTTAATATTTTTGGAGAGTATTTATGAATTTTATCTTTATGAACAAAAAAAAAATTTACTAGTCTACTTTTCCAAATAAAACAAAAATTGTTAGATTACGCTTGATTAGCGATGGAGTTATACGGAATTTTTAAGTGATCATGACTTTTCGGACATCCTGTACAGAAAGAATGGCTCACAATAGCATCAAGATACAAAAAATGAAATATCTCTGCATCGATTCAATAAAATGAGTCGATTTTACTTAGTGGAAGATGTTCGTTCAAAATTTGGTTTTTGTATGCATAAGGTAAACTAATACTACTATTAAGTATTATTTTGGGTATCATAAAAGCAATTTTACATGTTATCGAGTAAAAAAGATACGTATGTAACGTTTCATAGATAATTTTCAATTGTCATCTAAGAGAATAACTCGAACAATTTAAAATGAATTTTTACGAATGATTTTGTATTGATACACATAGAAGAAATTTTCAAAACTAATTAATTTAAAAGTGAATGATTATAAGATTTCAAAGCTTCAAATATGAGCACTAGTTTTTACAAGAAAGTTGGTATTCTTGTACCTAAACGGGTGTAACTGTATGTTTTATTCATAAGACATGAATTTCAGCATTTAAACTAACTAGATTTAAAAACTTGTTCTGTATATGACAATAGAAAATCATTCATAAAGTTTTTTTTTGACTTGTTCTCTATTCTTCTCTTTGATGACAATAAAAAGTTATCTATGAAATACTACGCATATTTTGTTTTTACTTGATAACATGTACAATTGCTTTTATGACATCAACAGTAATATATAACAGTAGTATTTGCTTACTTCATTCGTATGAAAAATAAAAACTTTGAATGAACTTCTATCACTGTCAAAAAAATCATCTCATTTGATTGAACCGATGCAGAGATATTTTATTTTTTAATAGTAGTGCTATTTATCAGTCACTTTATATATTGAAAGTGTGCTATTTGTCTTTATTCTTGTTACCATTGATTATTGACGTTATTCATATGATTTCAGATAGTGATAAAAGATTAAATAAATAAATTTCCAAATGTTACGCGTAGTGACCCTGCCACCATTATATCAAGAATATGGTAAGTGCGGTTGTTTTTCTATACTTGGCATTAATTATTTACTTAAATTTTCATATAAAATAAGAACAAAAAAAATAGAAATATTTTCGTGTGACTAAACGATGATTTCTCTTGATCTCTACTATTTATATCTAGCTAACAAATATTCAATACGATATATCTGAACATGGCAAGTTAAACATACGAAATAAAAATAACACGTGTTTAATATCATCATCAAATATTTGATGAACAACTTTATAAATTTATTTTTCTTATCACTTGTAAGCACCATTGTTGATTGAGTAAACTCACTTAAGTTTGATATTTATCAAAAATCCTTATTTTCTAATAGTGTATGCATGCATGTGTGCATAAAATAGAGAGATCATATGTCAAAACATTCATAACGCTTAGAATACTAAATTATTAAAGCAGAAAAAAACTGATTTTTTTTTTAAAATGATTTTATTTCTATAGAAATGTCAACAAGTGATGGTCGGACTACTAACGATAATATCGACGCTAAAACTCAAAGCTTACAACGTCGATCGGTCTTAATTTCGTCCGATCCAAACACTGATTCTCTACCTATTGACTTGGTACTTGTCTATGATCGTACAGATCAACACAAAGATAATGATGTGGAAATTAATCATGATAATCAAATCAAAAAAAAGAAGAAACCATCAGAACGTCGAAACAGATTTGAAGAATATCTTTGCAAAAAACAAGGTCTTATCCTTAAGCATGCGGTAAG